ACTCTGATGCCATTTGAATGCTGAGAGATATTCTGCTGTTTAAAGAGCTTGACTCTGGCCCTTGTTTTGAATTTAGCTTTGAGAAGCTTTTGACTGTGGCGCATTCTCTCCGCGTAGAGAACAAACATTTTGCTGAAGAGGCCAAGTTCAGGAGAACTTCTGAATGAAAGTGAGCTGCTGAAAGCTGTTTGGTTTTAATCCTGTTGCAGCCAGCCCCTGATCATGCAGACTCTTGAGAACACTTCAAAGCTCAGCACCACCGCGATGGCTCTCTCAGCCCCTTCTTTGGACATCACCTTCGGAAGTTTGCTATCTGCCGGTACCCGTCGACGTGATCTGTTTTGTTCCAGCCAAGTGGATTATACCCAGCACCTTGGGATCGGACCTTTCCCTGTGTGTGAGGTTATCCACATTCCAACTGTTATGCATTATGAGCTCTGAGAGTCTGGGCTGGCTAGTGTATGTGTCCTCTGGTTAGGCTCACTGACCTGCAGGCCCGACCAGTTAATGGGCTGGATTGCAGCTTCTCTAGCTTCAGACTTGTGTGGGATTTGCTGCCTACACACCCTAACCCACAGGGGGTCCTCATCACCTCAGACAATTTAGCTGTACTCTCTAGAAGCAGAAGCCTTCATGCTACATGCTACTTTCTTCTGCTGTTTCTCTCTGTTTTTGCCCACAGCTCATCGTGAACTCTGACTCCTTAATCACAGTTAAATGCTGTCAGAGCTGGGAAGTGAGAGACTACTGGGTAAAGTTTGAGAACCTCTGTGTAGGAGAGAGACAGCGAGATAATGGGCTTTGCTCTCAATGTGCTGAGGCCTCTAACTGCAAGCTAAAGATGGTTTAAAACTTCAAATGGTAACATTTGTTGAGCTCCTAAGCACCAGAAAAGTCTGCAAATTAAGCGCTGGATAGATTTTGGTTTATTTCTGTTTTTCTCTGCCGCTCTGGGTATTTTTTACTGACATCATATTTTGAGTTATACATGAAATGCACTCTGTATTGAAATGGTCAAGGTTTGAAGCTGAAACCAGAGGTGATGATGCCTCTAGTTATATAGGCAGTGTGCCTGTTTTTGTACTGTGTGAAGGAGCACTGTTGAGCTGAGGGAGCTCTGATGAGTGCTTATAGAGTGCTAAACCAAGTTCCAACTAAACTGCTCATCCATTACCCCGGCCGCCTGCACACATCTCAGATTTAATGTGCCAGGGTCGTTTGCGTGGCAGCAGCTCAACCTTCAGGGAACTCATTCATGCCAGACTGGAGGCCAGGAGCAGATTAGATCAAATCAATGTGAGCCCTGTAATGTGGCCTCTAGTCTGTCTGACCACAGAAGTAATACTGCACTAGCCCAGTGTTTCAAGACCCCCTTCAGGGCAGACCTGTCTGTATCAGGGAAGGGCTGATCATCTTCCTGCTGTGTACCTGGAAAAACAGGCTTCAGTGCGGACCATAAAAGAGGGTTCATTAAGCTCCCACTCTGCCTGATCACAGCTCTGGCAAAGCGAGCATACAGGGAGGGGGCGTAGTGTCTTTACATTTACAACTGAGTCTGCGATGATGTGAGAATCAATAGTAGAATATTCACCGTCCGGGCTGCTGTGCTGGCCTGGATCTCAAGCTGGGCTTTTATGTGAGGCAATACAGCAGCTGCTGCTGCTGGAGAGACATGAGACCGTACCAATCACTTAAATCACCTCTACATCCTCAAAAGAACAATTACCCTGGTGAGAGTGAAGACTGCCTTCTACCCTAGCTCAGTGCCAATTGTTTTTCACATAAAAGCTGTTGTTCATTTAACCTTGAAGATTAGCTATTTGCTTGCAGTTATGGGACGTATTGAGTGTTTCTAAACAGACACATCCCCTGAGAAATGTGGGAATTGCTTGTTTTACATCGTTCCCTTAGGTACCGCTTAGTAATTTTACCGAGCTCTTTACATTAACCCATGTAGAGCAACTAGGTTATATAACTTAACCAATTTTCTTGAATGAATGAATATTACAATGCAGCCGGCAAGACAAATTTAGCTTAGCTTAGTTTCTTTGTTGAGGGATGTGTCACAGAGGATGAACATTGTCTCACTGTGTTATTTCCATTACTCGTGGGTTCAATAATATTGGCCAGTTAAAAAGTACATTTAGAAAAAGTTTGAAAAGTGAGCATCGGAGTTACAGGAGTTTGATGGTTTCACTGCTTCCAGTACCTTCATTTTTTCCCCATTGGCCATTTTGACAGCTGACTGCTGAATTTGCACCTGAAAAAGGTGTTTAAAGACATTCAAGTAACAAACTGTTATATTTGAAAAATCACTCGTGTTCTTAATCTTTGCATCTTCTTTTGCTCTTCTCTCTAGTCACTGAGAGGTGTGAACAGCTTGCGTCCCTTTTTGCAGATTAATTTCAGGGTATTTTTATGGCCTTTCTCTTTGATGTAGTATGTCAACATCACTCAGTCTGGTACAGTATATATCTTGTTATTTAGTGACAGAACTAAATTTTGCACCTGTTTGATCACATCATGTTACTTCTTGGTAATGCAGAGTTTTAGTCATCCTACTACAAAGGAAGTAACATGAATTTGAGTTAAAACACATTAAATCTGCATAGATATTTTTGATATTTACACTGAATCTTATGACTCAGTGTGTAATGTGAATGATGCTGCCTGTAGTGCTAAAATCAATGGGAGTTCACCCAACTCTACAGAGCTCTTTGGCCTGTTTTAATGTATTTGTGGTATATGTTTTGCCTGGATTTTATCATATGGTTGAGTCTGAGTTTAAATTAGTAGATTAATAGACTGATCATGCAACAGAAAATTTTGTTTGAAAATTTGTTTACCAAGTAAATTTTTTTTTTAAAATATACCAAAAAAATAAATCACTGCTTCAAATCTGAAAATGTGTTGTTTTTCTTAGCCTTCTTTGATAGTAAACAATATATCTTTGGGTTCGGGACCATTGGTAGGATAAAACAAGCAATTAGAAGACAACTGTGGCTCTAGGAAATTATGATGGCCATTTTTCACATTTTCTACATTTTCTCCGTTTTCCCGTGATAACGAGTTAATTAATTTGAGATCTCGAGATAACGACTGTGATATGATAACTGCGGTAAAGCCAGCCATTACTTATTTTTTATTCATCATGGGTGCATGAAACACTTTAATGTAACATATTTTATTATTATGTATTATGTATTATGTAGGTTCGAATTATAGCTTACTGTTCTTAATACCTTTATTTTGAAAACCGGAAGTGAATACGCTATAAATTTAAGTGCGGCTGATATGACCACGGAGATCAGAGTAACGGCTGGCTTGACCACAGTTATCATATCACAGTCGTTATCTCGAGATCTCGAATGAATTAACTCGTTATCACGGGAAAACGAAGGAAATAAAATGTATGAATACATGGCCCTTTAGGGCTTCCGTAATTTTCTACACCAAACAATTAATCAGTTAATTGATATTAACTGATGATGAAAATAATAGTTGGTTGTAGCTCTATTCTCATCAACTGCCAGACAGCTTTAGGTTAGCTGGTGAATATAGGAAAGCACCAAAACAGAACTAAAAATAAGGAAACAAATATACATTTTACTTTAGGTGACCAGACCAGGGATGTGATATAAAAGGGTTAAAAATGCAGTTTCTCAGCTTTAGATAACCATGTGATGTTCTTGTTGATATTGATTTGGGAAAATACAGCCCCTATACAGCACCACAGTGTTAAGTCCAAATAAGTCAAAAAGGAAAGAAAATCAACAGGTATGTGTTCATTCTTATTATTTTTCTGATATTGTTTGTATAGACCTGTCCAATACATTTATTTGGCAACCTGTCTGTAAAGGAGCTGTGTTTATCAGCTCTCTATACGGTGTATTTTTCAGCCAGAAGCTTTCTTTAGTCACTTGGTTACAGTTTGATGAATGTGTTGAAAAGCTCATATTGACAGGAGTTATGAATTTTGTTCTGCTGTGTCGCTGGCTTTATATTTGTCTTACAGAAGCTTTGCGATGTTCTTATGTGTGAAACAGAGGCTCAGTGGTCACGCACACAGTCTCACTTTGATTTCTGGATCACATCCTTTCTGTGTGGAGTTTGCATGTTCTTCCTGTGTTTGTTTGTTCATTTCTCTGAATGTGTGTGATTGTCTGACAAAGTTACCTCTGTGACAGATAGCAACCTGTGGAGGGTGTTCCTTTGCTTTTTGCTCAGGGCATGCTTGGACGCACTCCTGCAGCCTATGACCCAGAGCAGGAGTGAAGACAGTGCATGAATTTTAAAGATAAGACTGGTGATATTCTATATATTTTGTTATTGTGGAAAGTGAAATACCAAAACCAAGTCCATCCCTCAAAATAAATAAATAAAATCAATATGACTTCTGTACCTTGCAGCAAATACTCAAACAGGAAACTATGTGTGTATTTGTTTGTTAGTTATGAGCATTTAGCTACAACAACACAGAGGTGTACTACATGTTGGATTGACTCAAAATAAAATACAGTGCCCATGCTGTTGGTAATGACGAAACATGTTGCCAAGTGCAACCGTGTGGCTCATTGATGTGTTTTTAATCGTTTGGATGACAGTGGAGCTCTATGGCACCGATGAATAGGCTATATCAGGCTGCACAGATTTGTAGGATCGGTTGTTGGTTTTGATATTTTAGGGGGATTTGTTGACAGTAAACATTATAAGAATATCATTACACTTATGAATAAAAAACACATTTACATTAGAAACTGACATTTAATTAAATTTATAGAAAATAAAATACATTGGCATAAGCTGACGATGAATGTCAACAATATCAAATAGGAAAGTGTTAGTGAGTAAAGTAATTAGTTGGTGGGGTGATTTAATTCACGATGAACTATTACATGCGTTATAAGAAGTTATTTTGTGACTGACAAGATTTTAGATGGTTGCATATTCCTCTTTTGCTCTGTTGCTCTGTCTGATGCCACTTCTCTCTGTGCCTGCAGGCTGTGAGAGTGACTACTGGGGACCTCATTGCAGTAATCGGTGTCAGTGCCAAAATGGGGCGAAGTGTAACCCTATCACAGGTGCCTGTGTCTGCACTGATGGGTACCAGGGATGGCGTTGTGAGGAGCCCTGTGAGCACGGTTACTATGGCAAGGCCTGCCAACTACCTTGCCAGTGTCTCAATGGTGCCACCTGCAACCATGAGACAGGAGAGTGCATCTGTGCACCAGGGTACTCAGGGGCTTTGTGAGTACCAGCATCATATTTATTCCTTTGCAAGTTTCTCTTTGGTGTCAATGAAAAAGGGTTGTGTTGTTTGTCTGAGTGTTCTTTGTTGATGCAAAGAACTGCAAGCAAACACAAGTTACAGTATGTGTCTGAGACATTTGACTCTTGACTCGTGTTTGGTGACAGCTGTGGAGAGCGCTGCCCCTCCGGTAGTCACGGGCCTCACTGTGAGCAGCGCTGCCCCTGTCAGAATGGAGGAACATGCCACCACATCACTGGAGATTGCTCCTGCCCTGCCGGGTGGACGGTAGGTCACACGAGTAAAGGTGGGAAGGCAATGAGGAAGAAAGGCCTGAGAGAACCAGGTTAATACTGTCGGTGTTCTGGAAAAAACGTTTATATCTCAAATGTAGTCTTCAGAGCAGCAGCATGTTGAGAACCTTGATCAATATGCTGTGTTCAATTATAAATGAGAACGTGGGATTCTCTACTCCCTGCAGGAAGAAAAAGGAGTTCCTAGAGGGGAGGTTGAGCATGCTTTCTCAAACCACTGTTCACAAAGTAATGTCAAGTGAACACCCACAGTCAACAGTATAAAGTGATACACTAGGGACGTTCCTATGTCCTTGTATTTTAAGGCAACGTTACTGGTTTGATTCCAGCTGGAGACGTGTGTTGCATGTCATCTTCCTTGCACCCTCCTCACTTGTCAAACTATTGAATGACTTTCCTTTGAAATCAGGGACGGATGATATGGATAAAAACTTCTCTTACCATATAAATAATTATAATCTAATGTATTTTCTGGAAATTCAGTTAAGAAACTGATTGCATATGAAATAACCATATATGAACTTTTGGACTAATTAAATACCTGACAAATCAATGTACTTTATTACATTTATTAAAAAAGTTTTGAAAAATTCAATTTTGCTGTGAAGCCTTCCTCGTCATCGATGAACAACGCTGCCTACAGTTACCCTAAAAAAGGCAAAGATTTGAAAGGGACAGATAAACAATTTGATAACATCTCTAAGGCAAGACACATTTCTATTCTCTCATCATCATATTGCCCAACGCTACTTAAGATCAATTACTTGCCAATATAGCAACAACTGTTTAAAGTGTACAATCAAGATATTCTAATATATATCCTGGCATGTTATCACTACCATGGGGTCCATTAATGAACACTTTGGACTTCCCGTGTGAAAACAAGAAGTGTTGTTGTCAGTTTCTTTTCTGTTCTACATAGGAGAAGATGAGGCACATGTCAGAAACAGATAAAACATAAGTAGTAACATCTCTAAAACAAAAGTGTAAGAGTCTTGGGTATTTCAGACCTGGCGTAGTTGTGAGAGATGTATCTCATATGGTTCTTTGCTGGCTGTTTTTCAAAGGGTTCAGTTTGTGCCCAGCCATGCCTTCTTGGCAAGTACGGCATCAACTGCAGCAAGGACTGTTCCTGTCGTAATGGCGGACTGTGTGACCACATCACAGGGCAGTGCCAGTGCGCAGCTGGCTTCAGTGGACGCAGGTACGCAGCAGACACCCCTGGCAGACAGACTCAGTTATTATGCACAAAAGCCTTTTTTTTTGTTGCACGCGGTGCAAACTTTTGTACTCCTACTTTGAAAATAGGTCAGACAATGGAATGATTTATTGATATTAGTATTTAATGCAAAGGGATGGTTTCATGCCAACAGTTACACATTAAAAAGTCAATCATTTACCTATTCTCTTTGTTGACATCCAAATGAGGCACAAACCTGGCTGTTCTTTAAAAAAAGAAAGGAAATGTAAGAATAATCTCACACTCGAGAGAAATAAGCACTTATAAATGCCCATTAGTCCATTTGAGGGTGGATTGGAAGCTTTTAATAGGGGTGTTTATGTTTAATTAATCTTGTACTTCATGCTGGCCAGCAAGGTTTCATGTCTTCAGCCTTCATCCTCCTCTACTCTCAGCCTGTCCATTGATCTCACCATGGGCTACATGCTGTTTGGATTCTGCTCATTAATTATAAGTAATGGGCTTATATTAAGGTCTCATTGAAATCCACAGATCTTTTCAGTTCTCCATGCCTGCCAGAGCAGCCCAGAGCAGCCTGGGTTTATTAGTTCAGCTAAAGCAATTGTCTCTTGGATGGAAACACTTCCTCGACAAGACCTTTCCTTTACTTTATTATTTTGCAAAATTGCCCTCATTCATTTCGTCAGTGGCAGGTGAATTAACCTGCCAGGAATAATCTGAGATTGTGTTAGCCCCCACCCTCTGCTGTCTAGTATAATAATACCATTGTCCCCTGATAAAACTAAAGCCAGGGTAATTTAAACATGAAACATAACTCGCCCATTTTATAATGTAATTGAGCTATTTGTAATAGCTTTGTTACACTCTTGAGATTGATACTCCACCAGGATTGTATCGTTAAGTCAGTATATTTAAGTTTAAAAAAAAAAATCCACTTTCTGATCTGCTTCAGTGCTTCATGTGGAGAAACTCCTCAGCAATTCTAATTTCTGTGGTTGATGACGATTATTAAGTCTTGTTCGACCCCTGCAGAGATACTGAGGTCCTGACTGCTGACAGCAGGGGGCTGCTTTTTTAGGGCTTCCCTGTCATGTACTCGTGGAAATTTTGCCATGTCAGCTTTGGAATTCTGACTATATTTTCAAATTAAATATTAATTGTCTAAATGAATAAATATAAAAAGATTATTAATAATATCAGATTTTTTACTATATTACAGTTGCAGCCGAAGAGCTTCACTCCAAAATGAAATTTCAGCTAGCACAGTATATCCAAAATAGAAATTTAGTGTTAGGGTTTTATTTGTAATAATATACAAATAGTAGATTTTACGGCAAAACAGCAAAAGCATTATAATGAAAGAGGCAATAATGCAATAACATACATACATAAAATATATTAAAATTAGTCCATCATGTACTTAAATAATATAAAATATATACTGTATAACCCTTTTTATTTTTTTTAGGCCTGCAACTAGCAATTATTCTCATTGTTGAGAATATTTTCTTGATTAATTTAGTATACAAAATGTCCAAAAATAGTGAAAGTCACCGTTTCAGAGTCCAAGTTGATGACCAACAGTTTAAAAAGCAAACATATTGATATAATGATATGATATAAAACATTAGAAATTAGTAAATCCTCACATTTGAGAGAGTTTGAGACTTTTGCTTGTTAATGGCATAAACAGTTAATGTATTGTCAAGATGCTGCTCATTAGTTTTCTGTCAATCGACAAATAAAAGTAATGTTTTCAGTGTATCACGCATGCAGTGCTGCTTTGACCTTTTTAATATTTTCGTGTTACCACTCTTGACTCAGGTTTTTCTTAATGCACTTGTCGTTTTTAGAACACCAATTTAAAAGACAATGTAATCTGTCCTCCAGGTGTCAGGATGACTGTCCTGTGGGCAGCTTTGGTCGGCAGTGTAACCAGAAGTGTGAGTGTCAGAATGGAGCAAAGTGTCACCATATCAATGGAGCCTGTCTGTGTGAAACGGGATTTAAAGGCCCTAACTGCCAAGAGAGATTCTGTCCCACAGGCCTCTACGGCCTCATCTGTGACAAGTACTGCCCCTGTAATACCACCAACACCGTGAGGTAAGTGAGACATCAGTGCAGTGCCACACACAGCCTCACTCTGACCAAGCCCATAAGTAAAGCCCACTGTAGCATAGTGGTTCAAAGCTATATGAATTAAGACTTCTCCAACCGAATTTTGCTTCATCTTAGCTCTAAGCCAGCACTCATTCTAAAGTCTGGACACCTCTTAGCCATGTCATCCAGTTAGCTTTTAATCGCGACCTTTGCTTCATTCATAATTTCTCAGCAGCATTCATAGTTAATGCAATGTTAATGCTCTGATTCCGGCTGGAGTTGGGCACCAACCATAGAAGTCATTACAGAGCGAAGGAGAAAGGGGACACCTCATCTATCTGAAACAAGCACGTAGACACATAGATGGATGAATTGCTGTTGGCGCAGACTTCACACTTTGACCCTCACGAACGAAGTGTTGATACTCTCAGAGCTGAAACTTCATCTCACTCGTTTTCTTCCTGTTGTTGTCCCATCTTTCTTTCTCATTATGTTGTAGCTGCCACCCACTTTCAGGTGAATGCACCTGCTCTGCGGGATGGACAGGGCTTTACTGTAATGAGACCTGCCCGCCTGGATACTACGGAGAGGGATGCATGCTGCCTTGCAGCTGTACCAACGGAGCTGACTGCCATCCTGTCACCGGTGCCTGTATATGTGCCCCTGGGTTTATGGTGAGTATCTTGACTGCTATATATTTTTTTGTCAACTATGTTTTATTAAAGAATGGTTGAAAATGCCGTCTACCCACTCACTGCTATTTAATGGTACTTAGGTCAGTGGATGTTATCATGGTAATGTTTTATTGTTATTTTAGATGTTATATGTTTTATTGTTATTGTTTTTTGACCTTTACTTTGTCTCACGGCCAGTCTCATGAGATCTAAATCTCCTTTTAGAGGGAACCAACTCAATGTTAGCACAATTATGTTACACAAACCAGCACAGAGCCAACATTCACTTAAGGAAGAAAAATAGGAAAAATCACAAAACACATTTAGAAGACATTAAAACATCAGTCCTTAAAATGTCTTGACTTGTGTAAAATAATTTAACATGTTTCTATTTTGCTCACTATTTTTAATTTAATCACTGCTATAATTACAGTGTCAACTTGTATTTATTCTATTGGTTACATACATTTTTCAGGAGCCTGCCATAGATTAATTGTCATTGTAACCTTGCTTCTTGTAATCTTTGTTATACTTAAGTCTGTACAAACATTAAAAAATAATGATCAAAGGGGATCCGTGTAGGGTATCAATATTGTGTCAATAATATAGCTTATATGTGAAATAGTTCATCCTAGTGTGTGAGCTTAACTTGTGAAGGTTGTTGCTCTGATTTATATTTGATGTTATTTGTGGCCATAGTAAAATGTTTGCGTCATTGTGGTCGTAATGTTCTGGAAGTGGTCCCAATATTACTTTAGAAGCTTTTTGTACACAGGCAGGCAGAGGCAAGGTGAGGCATTTTGTTATTGCCTTATTATGGATGTGTTCTGTTGCAGCAAAAGAAATTCCTTGCTAAATGATTCATTCTCTGGTCCAGGCCTTTGCTGACATTAATAACAAGCCGTGTGTATTTTACAAATACGGTTAATGTGCCTTAACTTGTAGCATTAGAGAGACAAGTAGAGAACAACCTTAGATATATATATATATATATATATATATATATATATATATATATTCCTAGACCAATTGGGAGAAAATTGAATCTTTGACCTACATACTTTTCCATTTTAGTAGTTTTTGTGCAGCCATATTGTCCCCTTTTACAACTGTCAAATTAGTTGGGTAACTTCAATCAGTTTTCCCATTGTATTTCTTGTCTTGCAATCTGAAGTTACAGAGCAACAGAGACCGAGAGGGTACATTTCTGCCAACATTACATTTCAGTGGAAATTGCCTGTGTCTTACAGCGGGCCACTGTGGTGAATTGAGCTACCGAGCGGGGCCGCAGACTGTGTCTTAATTTGCTCCACCTGTTCTCTTTGGCGGCTGCTGGGAAGGGCTGCCAGATCCATTAAACAGACCTAGAGGGCAGGAGTTGGATAGAAAAAGGAGGCAGTCAGATGGGAACAGACACACCTCATATGGAGGATTGGTGTGTGTATGTGTTGAGGGGGAGGCGGGGGGGGTTATACTTGCTGTTGTTCAAACAACACAGACCACGGATGGTTTGCCTATAATGGTAGAGCTGTGACCGTGGTTCTTACCTGTAAGTGTGTAACTTTTTGCCACATACATGACTTGATCATTATCACACAGTGGGGCTTTTTAAATTTGCTTGATGATGGCGTTGATTGCTGGTGAAGTCACTTCCCCATGGGTGATAGAACAAAGATGCAGCAGGGAGGCTTAGTCCTGAGTCCCATCGGGGGGCAAACCAAGCAAAGTGTTGGAGCAGACTGAGCTCCTGAACGCTTGATTTAGCTCTAGTAATTGGACATGCTCTTTTTGACTGGGACAAAGTGATTACATGTTACCTATTCAGGCATTGTCCCTTGCAATCTGCAGAATGTACTCACAGTAACATTTCTCCACTATGTCTTCAGTTTCTACAGATTGTGTTGATACTGTATCTGAAATATGAATGCATTAGAAATGGATTCCAGTCTGCCTTTGTAGGTGGTGAAAACAAATCATTTTCCTATCTCTCAGGGCTTCTAGTCTCATCAAAAAGGTTCAGGGGTTCATTTTCTGTCTTGCTGCATGAATTTTAAACTGCAGTCACTCATCCAGCAGTTAGATGAACTGTTAAGGAGTGAGACTGATTGGTAATTAGTGGTACCATTTGCATCTAGTCTCAATGGGTTCCAGGCTGATCAATGTTGTGTCAGCGAGAGGCTTTCTGGAAAAAAAATGCTCTCCAATTACATTAAGATACTAATAGGTATGAATTTAGTGCCTTGGCCAAGGACGACCTGGCTGCCTCTCAGCGGCTCAGGTCTGGTTGCTTCCTCCATTGGCTGTGTAGTTATGTAAGGTCCTGCTGCTCTCGTGCAATGGACTGACAGCCCGTGTATTAATAATGATTCTCCACATACAGACTTCTATCCTTCGCAGCTCAGAAGGAATATGAATCAGTCAACTAATGAGAGAGCTGCCTTTCCCCTCTTGAGAGCAGACCAACCGCTGGTCTCTGTGCCATGAGGGTGAAACCAAGTGGAATCCGACGCAGCCATGGATGCAACAAAATCCATGTGGTCATTTGTTGCTGCATGACGTTTTATCCATGAGTCCAGTCACCAGTAAATTGCCTGTGCTCTGAAGACGGGCTGAACCTCCCTACCCCACCCCCCAGCCCCCCTGGCTGGTCGAACTTCTCTCCGCACTTAACAGCTGTAACTGAACTGCTATTGTTAGCAGTCTTGAAGCTGTCATTTCCAGTAGAACAAAGGTTATTGCAACCGATTGATAAAAATTTCATTCACAGACAGGCGCTTTTATGTGGTGTACGGGGAGGAGAGATGTTTTAAGATGTGTGTTCTGCCCCTGGCGTCCACTGGCACATCTCCTCCTGCCTCCTGTTTAAACTGAGTTCAAAATGATAATGAGAGCAGTGAGCAGCCAGCAGTCCCTCAGTGCTCTGGTTAGCAAAGCAAGAGCCACTCAGGACTCCTCTGGGCCACTAATTGGAACTCTAAATCATTGTGTCACCTGTCACTCAAGGAAGGGTTTGGAAGAGAGGGTGTGGGAATCCATAGACTGGCTGTGATCTCCAGCTTAGGGAGGGACGAGACTAGTGGAGGTGGGCTGTGCTCAGCCTTTAAAGCAGAGAAATTCTAATGATAGCAGGCTGCAGAGGACAGGGAAGGAGTGCCCTGTGTCCTTCATCAGATAGTTCACTCTAATGCAATGGTAAGGGACTTAAAGTCCGCGCCAGCATGGCTGCTGTTCCCCCATTGGTGTGCTTATTAATAGTACTGTAGGGGACTAATTGAGAGTCTGCTACAGTCTATCAGGGACGTCTCAGGGATCCTGTCTTTCCCTGTCCACCCTGTTCTCCATGGTGTTTATTTGTTTGGGTTTTGCATTTATCCTACGTCTCTCAAGTTTGGTTTTGTCATCATATTGTCATTCTTAGTACTGCTAACTCCCACTGTTGGCCTGAAGAGGGTGTAGACAGCCATGTGCTTTCTCAGATACACATAGTATCACCAGCTGCTTCGGAAACTGCACTTCAACCAACCAGTAGGAGTCGCTAATGAAGGGACAAGGATATGATCTTACAACAGTCAGTTTAGTCCTTAATATAGAGACAAAATTGAGGGTTGAACTCTGGTCTTTCAGGCAGTGGGTGAGACTTTTGAGCACTGTATCACTGCACCTATGGAATTTAATCGCTATGGTGGTCCCACTCACTTGTGTCTACAAAATCCCTACTTCACCTTGCAGTTTATAGTTTTATAGATATATCTTCCGTCAGGCATTTCACCAAACAAGGACCATCACCTGAGTTTGTTTAGAACAGAAATGGTTTGATCAATGACGTAATGCTAGTTGGACAGAAGGGCAGATGTGGTAGTACTTCGGTTGAAGGCTGATGGGGTAAGAGTCTGGATTCTCTGGGTTGGAGTCCTGCCAGTCTCTCCACTGATGAAAGTGGAGACCCCCCGTGAGACTAAGCTAAAGGGAGAGAGAGAGAGAGAGAGCGAGAGATGGAGAGATGGGGTGGAGCATGGTTGCGAAACGCGTATGGAGTGCATAATTGGAAGCTGGGAAGCTTGGGGGAATCAAGGGTAGTCCCTCCTCTTGAACTTCACTTACTATTATAGCTTTATTTTATTTTACAGTTGCATACAGATCCAGTATGACTGGTATCAATAAACAGTTCAGTAAGCTAAGGAGAAGTGCAGAGAACCTTCCCTGTCTTTCTGTCCACGTCAATTCAGACTATATTATTCCTATTTTAAGTCTGCCAGAGTCAGCATTTATTGCCATGCTGATACTTTGCCTCATAACTTTGCATTGTTTCTACCTCAGGGTGAGGACTGTGCTACTGTCTGTCCTCCTGGTCTGTATGGACCAAGCTGCATGTCCACCTGCTCCTGCCATAATCACGCATCCTGCTCTCCAGTCGACGGCTCCTGCATCTGCAGGGAAGGTACAGTATAATTGACTGATGGTAAAGGTTCAGAGCAACTCCTGAGCTTTGTAAGATATGCTACACTGACTGTACTGTATGCTTTATTATCTGACAAGTCAGATTCTTACACGGATGAACAGCACAGTCTGAATCCTCTCATTCTGTGCTTGAGAATGGAAGACAAAACACATAAAGTAGATTGTTTTCGTATACATAGTATATTACATGTATACAATGACCCCTTCCCTTTACTTAGTCCCTGCTTCTTATTTTAAGTTTTCTTTTTAATTACGCTTAATCTTTCTAATTCTTTTATTGTGATATACAAGCCTTTTTGGCTTATGAACCCTTATAATGAGACATCTGATTGAGATCCCTCATCTCAGGTTATGGCCATAGTGTGGACATTTTTTGTGGATGTTTTGAGCAGTTCAACCAAAGACTGATTTTTCCTTCCAGATTGTTTAATCTGAAGGCTCTTTAGAGGTCCTGAAGGAGTGAAAGTATTTTTTATTTCAGATAAAAGCAAAAATTAAAGACCTGAGGTTATGGTGCCACAATGCAACATCCCATCTCTTTCTCCCTTGTTTCTCCTCTCTTCATCTCTCTACTTTCAACTATCTAATAAAGGCATGAAAAATCCCCAAATCAGAGCAACAAGATTAAGAGCCTAAAACCGTGCTAGCAGGTCTATTGGTGTGGTTAGCTAAATACTAACACGTCTTAGTTTAATGTGTTGGCATGCTAAAATTAGCTAATTAGCACCAAACACAGGCTGCAGCTCAGGCTGTTGGGAATGACATTAGTTTTTCAGGTGTTTAGGCATGAACCAAAGTATTGGACAAATAGTTACCTGATGATGCCACTAGAGGAAAGGTTAAGGGATCACAAAAGTTATTACTATGCAGATTTATTTTAAGGGTTTGAACCCCAGGTTGGGAACCACTGTACTATACTATTATTTTGGTTGTCTAGTTGTGTAAAACAATGTAGCTGTATCCACAATACACTTGGAAATGTCTCTGCTCTGTCTTACCCCAGGCTGGCAGGGTGTGGACTGCTCTATCCTCTGTTCCAGTGGTACCTGGGGTCTGACCTGTAATCAGACATGCTTATGTACCAATGGAGCTGCATGTGACCCTATAGATGGCATCTGTACGTGTTCTCCTGGGTGGAGGGGAGAGCACTGTGATGAGTCCTGCCCAGTAAGTCTGTCTTATAACTAAGAGGTTGCTGCAGAGAATCCTGTGGTTCTTGAACCTTTGGGGCACCATACAACTTGTAGCTGTAACAGTGTGTTTTTAACATTGTCAGGATGGCACCTATGGCTTGGAGTGCCGTGAGCGCTGTGACTGTAGCCATGCTGATGGCTGTGACCCAGTGAGTGGCTACTGCCGCTGCTACCCCGGCTGGACAGGTCAGTATTGCTTTAATAATAACAACAGGCTTTAGGGACATAAATATCCTCTGAGTTCTGTTTATTCATCCTTATCTTTTTCAAGACATCAGATGCTTGTCAGACAAACTTATTTACCAAAACAGGAAAATATGCTGGGGCATTCATGGTTTCCACTGTTTACAGTATGTTTACAGAGTGTCTAAGCAGTGTTTTGTTAATTGAATGTTCAATTTGTTTTGCCACTAAGCCAGCGGGGTATATGAATGTGAGTAAAATAATTCTCTTGGCCGATTCACTGGATTCTGGTATGCACTCATGCTTATATGGCATCCATTATTGGTTATACGCAATGTCTGAAGTGACTCACAAGATAAATATTTGGAGATAGAATCAAATCATTGGCCCAGAAAGCTCTCATGAGTTTTAAACAGACTATGATATTATGGTATTTTTTATTTCCATGTTGTTGTAAAATTCCAAGTTGTTGTGAAATCTGACTGAACCAACTGCCATACTAATTCATCAGAGGATTCACTCTTTCATAGTCGGCATAGTCTCACTGTTTGAACTCTGATCCCCTCCAGACCCAAAAATTCCTAGTTTTTTCTGAACATATGTCTGCTCTTTGTTTCGTGTCATTTCAAACATTTGCTTACAGGGAAAGAGGTGGAGGTAGGAAAGTGTGAATGTCACAGCAAGGTTGAGGATCATTATGCTCAAAAATGAAGTGTCGCATCTGAATGTCAAATACAGGGGTCTAGCGGAGGACCTGGTCTCTGAGCCTGGGTGGAGAGGTGCAGTCAGGGAGGGAATAGATTCAGCAGGAAAGGTCAAGCCTGTGAGCTCTCAGCAGCCCACTCCATTCAGCCTCCTGAGCTTAGGGCATTTATTCTGGGAAACAATGTGGGTTTTATTATCTGCAAGAACGGAGGCGGCAAAACGGGTCTCTCATGCTCTGAATCCTGCACAGGTCGGGACCATCTGTCAGCCTTAATTGAGTCACTGGGGTGCAGGGCTGGGGGCAACGTACAGCCCAGTGGGCCAGACAAACACACATACATACATACTTGAATCATAGAGGCTTGACAATGGGCTCTCAGAAGGAAGGAGCACCTAGAGAGAAGAAGATGTGGGATTCGTCACAGGGCTAAGTCAGGGATAGAATAAAATGGCTATTTACAGAAACACTGGAGCTATTTCTTGCTGTAAACACTGTCATATCACTGAGCATGCTGGCTCCAGAGTTGATATGGCATCCTACTTTAGTGTCAACTTGCTATTTGTTTTATTGTGGGTTTTTGCGTAAACTGTCAAGAAGGTTGACTCTAGGAGTGTGTGCATGTAAGTGGCTAAGTCATCTTTGACCCGCACAGTTGTTGCTTAACTGTCGTAAGCCTGACATCAGCCAAGAAAGACTCAAAAGAAGTGCCTACGACAGGACACTTGATGCAGGGGCGTTATGCCAGTCCATGTTAAATAACTTCACCTTTTATTTCAGAAGAGATTCCATGTCATGGAGCAGGTAATGTGAGTGCGTGTTTACATGCACTGAGAGAGAGACGTTTGCTTTGCTCTGCTCGCTCTGTACAAATTGGATGGTGGGACCTCAGGCACTTCTCGCCGAAAAGCCTCCTTTGAAGAGACTTCAGTTCTGGCTTCTCTCACTCTTTCTTCTTCTCCCTCACTAGGCATCCAAAGCCCCTCTGTTTGCCACCATTAGACTGAAAAGTGTGATGCTCTGCCCGCATTCATTTTCTGACAGTAAAGGCAGTCACAGTTTTTTCTGCTTGGCCTAGCAGAACCTCAAACACACTTGCACAAGTCTTGCCCTCCTTTTGATGTCTATGGCTGGGCTTCTGACTAAATCACTGCTACCATGCCCCTTCCTCATCAGCACTAACATTTCCTCTCCTTTACTCCTCCATTGCAGCCCCAAGGCACCCTGGTTACTGTATAACATTAGTCCCCAGAGTTTAGTCCAGGTTTAATTCAAAGGTACTGCACTAATGCTGCTTTAATGGCCACACCATTCTCAGATATTCTCACTCAAAGGAAATTTCAAATGAGGCTTCGAACTAAGGGCTGGCACTTGAAAGGTTGCAGAGTTTGTGCACGTGTGTGAGTATGTGACTCCAACAGTGTGTATGTGCCTGCATGGTTGCAGCAGTATTGAACCTGTGTGTATGTACAGTACATGTGATTTTGCCCCTTAGTTTTTTTTGAAGGCATGGGTATTGCTAAGAGAAAATGTGCTGCTTCGACGGATGTGAAGACATTCATGTGAACAGTGAGAGAACCGTATAGATGCAGTGTGTTTTGCGTTTGTTGGTTGGAGCTGCGCCAAACACACAGTGACACTTCCAGGCTGTGCACTTGTAGCCTGAGTTCTTCCCTTCGGCTCTGTACACTACCACGGCTCTGCTGAAAGAGAATGGGAGACAAGCTTGGCCTCTCTGGAGACCCAACCCTGTTAATCAACACAGTGCACTGGCAGGGAGCCCCAGTCAGATCAAAAATAAAATACATTTGGAAAGGAGTCTGGAAGGATGAGCTGAACTATAAAAAAACACACTCCAAAATGCAGCTTTTTCATTTAGGATTAAAATCAATCGAGGATCCATGCTGGGTGTATAACCCTCCACAGATCCACTGTGATCAGGCATTGTGAATGCTGTCCTTTGATGATGTGTTTTTACAGATGGCAGACTATTTAGAATATTTCAGCACACCCGTCTTTGCCTTCTTAGTGTGCATTCGCTGAATATTTGTCATTGTAATGTGCCTGCAGGAATCCACTGTGATAATGTGTGCCCACAAGGCTTCTGGGGACCCAACTGTTCAGTCAGCTGCTCCTGTCAGAATGGAGGATCCTGCTCTCCAGAGGACGGCACATGTGTGTGTGCACCTGGATACAGAGGGACCTCCTGCAAAAGAAGTAAGCCTCCTTCTCTTTCTCCATGCAACCTCTCTTTATCCAAACCTTTAAGAAATCACAGGCACGAGACTGAGAGGGCCGCAGAAACAAACTCCATCACACAAGTGACCTTGGTTTGGTCTTTGAAGAATTGTTGAAGGGTGAGCCAGCTGGGAAGAAGCAGTTAGTTGTCGGTCATAACTGCTTGAGTGTAAACCCTTCATCACTACTATCACTTAATCACAGTGTATGTAGCCCTATAGCACACAAACACACAGACTCCTCACCCCCTACCCTGTCCTCAACAACCAACTCACAGTGGGAGACTCACAGTCCTCGGCCGAGGCTCATCAGAGGGTGTGCTCACTGGGAGTGCTAGTTCAGGTTTCTGAATGGGGTCTGTCTGAGGCCTCTCTCAAGTGATGAGCTCACTGATTGGGAGGGAAATTCTCAGTCACAAACTTGTAAACATCAATTTGAGTGAGTGAGTTGCGAGATTAAACAAGCTGTGTGTGTGTGTGTGTGTGTGTGTGTGTGTGTGTGTGTGTGTGTGTGAGAGAGAGAGAGAGAGAGAGAAAGAGAGGAAATGATTACTCCTCCAAATTCAATGTTTACACAGATAATGTTCTCGTCATGTGGAAACCTCATAACTGCTGCATTTTTGCTGCTTTTTCCTGTTGAAATTTTAATTGGAGGATTACATGCTTCTCCAAAGGCTGATAAAGGTGTATCACACCTGGTGCTTTAAATCAAATCAAAACCCATGGGGTAAACTTAACACTGCATGGTTGTCAAACAACAACCAAGGCTGTTTTGTCAGCTCCTTAAAGGTTTCTTATTTTGGAAATACCTGATTGCCTCTTGAGAATAATGGCATTGGAGCGGGAATCTTCCCAAATCATCGGCTATAAAAATAGGAACATAACATGGATTTTTAAGGCTCTCGCTGAAAATGAAATTAAACTATGTTTTTATTTAATATATTTATATCAATTGCAGTATCTGCACAGCTAACACTCTTTCTATAAAATGTTAGTATAATTACTTTTATACAACCGTCTGAATATTTCTTAATGGTCCACATTCTTTCAATAAAATCTGCATTATTAACGCACAGTTGTGCATTTCCTGACATTTATAGATCATCAAGCTGCTCTCAAGACTTAACATAAAAGAGATTTTCACGATTCTCTTAACTATTTTACTATTCTATCTCTGGCAGCAGATGAAATGGGAGTGATTACAATAAAGACTGACTCCCCTGCTTTTTCACTCCCTTTGCTGTCTCTCCCCGTCTTTTCTGCTTTAATTCTTCCGGCCTTGATTTCTGTACTCCCTTGATCACTCTTGTCATGCCCTGTTTCATTATTATATACCTCTTGTTCCATCCAACACTGTCGACTGATTCCCTCTTCTCTCCTGCCGTGCTCTGCCGGCTACAGTCTGCTCTCCGGGGTTCTACGGGCACCGCTGCAGCCAGTCGTGTCCGCAGTGTGTGCACAGCACCGGGCCGTGCCATCATGTCACGGGCCACTGTGAGTGCCTGTCTGGCTTCTCTGGCTCTCTGTGCAACCAAGGCAAGTAGCCTTCTTTGTCCCTTTGACCTTTTCCCTGCTGTTTCTCTTGCTGTAAAATTCATTCACTATGAAGTTTAAGTCCATGCTACTGAAAAATGTTGAGTACAATTTATATCTGAAAATGCCCGAGCATTTTGTCTTGATAGGAATTCGAAAAAAAAAACCTGTATTTGAGTGGTTCGGAAATACATTTTATTATGTAAAAGTAAGTTATTAAGTGCTGATGCCGACAATATCTCATAATATTTTAGGGTTCATTCATATGTCAAATAAACTCCTTCTGTCATAGCATTATGTGAGGACACCTGTATGTTTTCCTACAGTCCTTGCTGTTCTCAGTGACTCTAATAAGATCAACGGATGACCTCCTGCCTCTCCTTCTGGCATCTTAGCCCTGAAACTTTGAATAATGGCTATTATCAGTGCACCCCAGACCAAAATGGGAGAAAAAAAAACAACCTTCAACGGGATCTTGAATATTGCTGAGACCCACTTTTTTAGACAAAGAATACATCAAGTAAATGTTGCTGTCCCTCTGCCTTATTCTGCGAAGAGAGCTGCATGTAAATTGCTTTTCACAAATAGACAAAGAAACAACACATGTGCACGTCCGTTCATCTTGTTAAATTTAATTTGAAGGCAACCAGGCAAACTTTTTCTTTGTGTATAGCCTCAAAGATGTTGTTTGAATCACATAGGAAGATCTTGTCAGGAAGAAAGTGTGCAGCCTGTGTCTTACTTTCATAGTTTCTTCTTTTAGCTTTCAATGTGTGTTGATTATGATGTTTCATGAGTAATTTTAAACACTAAACACTACAAGCTATGTTGACAAATAAGTGTTAGAATACTTAATTACCATATAATGTGTTGACAATATCATAAATGTCATACATCATACATATATATGTGTTTTTATGATGATATAGCTCGTAGTCTTGTTGTATGTTCGGTGTATTAAAACACAAAAATGCAGCTTATAAAGAGATTGTTTAACGTAAAATTCGGGGTATCATGCTAGTTTTTTGTCTCGTCACTCTCCATCTATTCAATAGCTAAATGTTAGCAGTTCATCCAATATCGAACGTGACGGTTTACCAAAGGTCCATAGGTATTTGTTTTGTTAGTGATTCCTCAAAGGCTATAAAGTGCAAAGACACCTATATACAAATGTACTGTAGATTTTACTTTCTAATAATTTACCTTTTTTTTTATAAATTACAGAAAGGCAATTGGGGATTTTTGAATTCTCTTTCAAGGCTTTGAGCAATGTCTTACAAATAAAAGTTTAATAGGTTAGCTGAAAGAAGAGAAAAAAGGAAAAGCGAGTGTTCGTCCTCATTTGTCGGACTGTAATTACTGGTGAGCAGGCGTTAGGCCGCGAGGGACGAAGGTGGCCAACAACATACACATTCTCCTCTTTTTGAGCCCTGTTGGCGTCCTCACTTGTCCTCTGTCCAGCACACAAAGTCCCAGCTTAATGAAGCTCTCCTGGTGTGTTGAGGCTTGAATCCCCAGAAGCAGCAGTATGGGGGAGCCAACCTCATGGCCTAATGACAACCTGCTTGAAGGAGCTTGAAAGAGCTCTCAAGAAGAGGGGAAAGCCAGTTGAAATGTAATCATTAAAATCACCCCACATGAAAATGAGTCAGACCCATCTCTTTCACAGCCAGACACCTTATCTGATATTTCTAACGCTGGGCTATTCTCTTTATATGAGACCTTTTATGTATCTGCTGGCAGTGCAGCTCCCTGATCCTGATGGTTAGATACACCTTGGTTCAATTTGTCTCACAGCCAACAAGAAAACACAATGGAGGTTTCATTGGAAATGACATCTTTTATTGAAGAGTGCCGGAGAGCATTGAAATATTAATTTCATAAAAAATGTATACGGTGGTCTGTGTACATGGTCTATTTTAATTCTGTGGCACATCACTCATTCCACTCTTGTGAGTGGAAATGGGGCAGTTGTGCCACTGGAGGCCGTGATGTGATTGACTCCTCCTTTTGTTTAAACAGATCACTTCACTTCATGTCCACTCAAATAGAACAATATCATCCATTAGAGGAATATGTTTACACAACCTTTCACATAATGAGTTTGTTTGCATAAAAGTTTGGTGTCATAATGTTAATGGATTTTACTTGTCTTTGCATGTTTGTTAATCATGTTTTGTATTTTGCAGTCTGTCCGAGCGGCAGGTACGGCAGGGCCTGCGCTGAAATCTGCCTCTGTACCAACAACGGCACCTGCAACCCCATTGATGGCTCCTGCCAGTGTTTCCCTGGCTGGATAGGAGAGGATTGCTCTCAGGGTATGGCTTCCCTCCTTCATTATGTGTTCAATTTACTTTCTCTCAGATTTTCCCATCTCATTGTCTGTCTCCACTCTCACATTTACCTTCATACACATTAATTACTTTCATGACCCTACACATTCCAAGAACTACCCTCAGCCCCAGCTTATGTAGAACAGATAGCTTGTTTAAATGATTGTTGTAATACATTATGCTCTTTGATTTACAGCACTGTAGGCCAAAGATCATTTGCAGAGCTTTGAGCCGTCATGCCGTGGGACATTGATGTGTGTTTTTTTATTGCATCGACTACTTAAAGTAAAAATAACTTATGATCAGATAGATGTTATATTACCAGTGCTTCACTTTGGATTATTCAAGATGACATATATGTCGGCTCATATATTACAAATTATGGGCTTGTTGAGGGTAAAGATCGCACTGGATTTTCTGCAAGGATCTGTGTTAAGACATTTCTATATGTGGAGGATATTTAGGCATTTCCTCAAACATGTGTGTTATGTACTTCATCTATGCATTCATAGGACATATCGTATGTGTGGGGGCGGTGTGTGAGCATAAGCTTGACTGTGTCTCTGGCGTCTACAGCCTGTCCGTCTGGGCACTGGGGCCCTGATTGTCTCAACTCATGTAACTGTCACAATGGAGCCCAGTGCAGTGCCTACGATGGGGAGTGCAGGTGCAGCCCTGGCTGGACCGGACTCTACTGCACACAGCGTGAGTCTCTCCCTCCCAGTTAGTAGAAACACACTGTCATCTATTGGCAGTCAAACAGAACTGCAGCAAATGACAAGTGAGAAACGTTTTTTTTAGAGACAACTGGGCAACTGGATGATAATAGTTTTTCATTTACAGGTTTTTTTTTAGAGAGAGCAACATCAAAATAGCACTAATGGTCACTTCATTGTTTGCTAATTATACATTCCAGTCATTCACACAGGGATAGTGCAGATCATCATCAGTCCACTAATTTGAATTCCATTATCTATCACCACAAGGGTTTTATTCAGTCTTTTTAGCATTTTTATACTCTTTCTCTTTTGCATGAAAATGGCATTTGTTTTAAAAGTTTTTTCCTTTTTTCCCCCTCACATAGCTTCTTACTATTTCCAGTTGTCTTGTTCTTTATTTTCACCTCTATGTTATGTGATCACCATAACAAGATTTTCTGCTGAAGCATGAATTGTTTAATTTCCATTCATTCACATTGTCCCTTCTTGAGTATGCTGCAGAGACATTGAATGGTATTGATTTTCCCGTTCCCCTGCGATATGACCTTGACTCTTTACGTTGTCTTCCCCTCTCTTTGTTGTCCCCCCCCCATCCCACCCAAACATTTTATACATCTCTGTCCCAGGCTGTCCTTCAGGGTTCTACGGCAGGGACTGCTCCGAAGTCTGTCGCTGCCAAAACGGCGCAGACTGTGACCACATCACTGGCCAGTGTGCTTGCCGAACAGGCTTCATCGGGATGAGCTGCGAGCAGAGTTGAGTAGGCCCAGCACATTTAGCTCTGAGTAAAATTACCCTGTAGATGAGTGTGGTTGTGTATGTGTGTGTGTTCTATAAACACTTTGGCTCACACTCTCTAAGTGCTTTAATTTTGATGGATGTAGTAATGCACCTCTCTCCCATGCAGAGTGTCCTGCTGGTACATTTGGATATGGTTGCCAGCAGCTGTGTGAGTGCCTGAACAATGCTACCTGTGACTATGTGACTGGAACATGCTACTGCAGCCCGGGATATAAAGGCATCCGTTGTGATCAAGGTGAGAGGTGATCGGGATGATCAAGGCTCTCCACTGTATAATCACTCAAACACAGATGTGTACACAGTGTTTAAACAACCCACTCTCTGTGTTTTCTCTGTAGCAGCTCTGATGATGGACGAGCTGAACCCATATACCAAGATTAGCCCAGCACGAGGCTCGGAGCGCCAGTCTGCGGGAGCTGTCATGGGCATCATCTTTCTCCTCCTCATCATCATGGCCATGCTCAGTCTGTTTGTGTGGTATAGACAGAGGCAGAGGGACAAAGGACACGAGATCCAGCCCAGTGTTTCCTACTCACAGGCAATGCACATCACCAACACTGACTATTCCCTGTCTGGTAAGTATATTTTAGAGACTATTCAAACTATTTGCTTACTATTGACAAATGCTAATGAAGCTGATTAGGGAAAAAATACTATTTTTATAATAATTTAGTCGTTTCAGTCATTTATGAAACAAAAATAACAATTCATAGTTCCAGGGTTGATGAAAAGAAAATAATAGACCTAAGCATGCATTTGTCCATCAATTAAACATGTATCCTGATTAGACTTGATTTTTTTGTGGTCAAAAATGGGCATATATGTGTTAAAATCTTCATGCATATTAGTACTTTGAAGATAGCCGAGAAAAATATGAACAGTCAAATTATTTATACTTTTTAAACCTCTCAAACTTGCTGTTTCAACCCTCAGAGTGTGGCAGTACTGTAGCGATGAGGACCAGTGCTGCTGAGGTCAATCAGAGCCAGAACAGCAGCAGCAGCAGTGGCCAGTGCTTTTCCAACCCCAGTTACCACACTGTGGCCCAGTGTAATGTTGTCTCAACCATCTCCAGCAACCTGGATGGCACTCTGACCCTCAAAGTATGGCCACTCTTCATGTGTATTTGCATCAATTTTTATTTTCACAACAACATACAAACAAGACCAAACTGTGCTCCTCCTTTTACAGTCAAACACCCTGAAAAGCAGAAATGGCTCAGAATGGAGAGCCTACTGCAACCTCAATGATATAGGTAAGTTTTCCCTTTCTCTTACCATGAAGCGCCACATACATCCAGAATTTCTGAACTTTGTAGAATCGGCGCTTCAAGGGCAAAGACGCATGTGTCATTAGTACAAACCTCATATAGGCACCGGCTACCCTGCTGTGAATGAAGATGAACCAGGGGTTTCTTGTTAGACATAACCTTTGCTCTGATTTTGATAAGATATGCGTGTGGGACAGAGGAAGCAGCGGTGCGGAGGTGAATAGGGGTCACTGTGAGCTCATTAGTCCTCTTTCACTTCCCCCGGTGGCACTTCTCTCTATGATGGCTTACACTGGGTCAGATACTGCTCTCTTGGGCTGTGAATTATAGAAAAATGAAGTGTGACTCAATAATAACTTAAATCTCTAGTTCAAATATCCTCCCATTAGCGTTTATAGGCAGTGCAGAAACATTTGATAAATGGTTTATAATACACTTGTGAGTCAAAATAAGTTCTTGTTAATGTAATAAGAGTATAATATGTGTTTTCATAGAAGAAGAGTTATAATTGTTGACAAACACTGCACATTAATGAGCTCTCAAAAATATCCATATGTTTACAACTACTTTATAGCCTCTTATAAACCATTTATTAAATTTGTAATTAGTGTTTATAAAAGCTCAACAGGAGGGGTTAAAGTAAAGTGTTAGTGAGATTATACTGTAAATACTACAAAGTGACATGCAACAGTATAAATATCGATGATTCATTCTTTGTTATGCTTGACCTCAAAGTCAGATATCTCGATCTGCACTATTTCAATAGTCCCTCTAAAAAAACCAACATATTGGATGTTCACGCTGATGTACTGAATTAAGAGACTGATGTAGCACATTGATGTAGCCTTAAAAAGGCTTGTCTTCTCCTCACGATGTGTTGTTGTTTGGCAAATATCCCATTATGACCACAGATGATTATGTAAGCTTGTAAGCCTTGGGGGAATGTGTTAGCAAGCGGGTGAAACATTCAGTAACATTTTTTAGAAAAAAACATAAGACAGATCGTACCATAATGAGATATTTCCCGTTAACCTTCACACACTGGGGGAATATGTTGTTTGACTTTCATGTTTTGACATTTGTTACAGATGTTCAACAGGGGGAGACACAGACACAGAGAGGCTCCCGAAAAGGTAAATAATTAGTTGTGGTATGTGTGTATGTATGTGTGTGTGTGTGTGTGTGTGTGTGTGTGTGTGTGTGTGTGTGTGTGTGTGTGTATGTATGTGTGTTTGTGTGTGTGCAGACATACTGCATGTGGAATCCTGTTCAGCCTCACCAGCACCAATATTACAAAACCCTTTTATGCTCAACAGCCCACATATCAATTTCCCCATTTGGTTTCTATTCCCCTCTGAAACTGCCATTTCTCTGACCCAAAATCCCATATCCTTATATTCTCCGTGATTTATGTGAAAACTCTCTACACTTTGGACGAGATCATGGTGGGCTGAGGTTTTGTTCCAACGGTAATTGCTCTCTGTGGCTCAGTGCCCGATACGTCATTTTGTCTCCCACACTGTGCAGTCCGTGGTGAGTGTGAGGGACCCAGGGGTGTGAAGAGTGGTCTGAAGGAGCTTTGCTGCGGTCTCTAATGAGCCCTCTTATCAGACTGATGAGACTGTTATGGATGAGAAGAGCCTTCCGCTCTGTCCCCTTTGTACTCTGATTACTATATACCACCATTAGTCACCTGTCGGAGACAAAAGAAGTACAACTTTCTTAGAATGGCAACGATTTTCATTGCCATTCTCCAAGCCACTCTCTGATGTCTATTTAAATTTTAGTGCTAATACCAGAGTCTAGCATTAAGACCACTCCTAAAAGTCAGTGACAATCTTGTCATCTTTGTTGATGCTGAATATGTCCTTGTCTCGCGGCTGCTGCAGATTACATCAAGGGCTCCATGTGCAGCAACAGCTCCTGCTCCCTGAATAGTGAGAATCCATACGCCACCATTAGAGACCCTCCAGGGCTGGCTTGCAAGCACACAGAGAGCAGCTATGTGGAGATGAAGTCCCCCTCCCACCGTGAAGTGCCCTTTGGAGGCACTGCCACCCTCCTGGGCAGTGCGAGCAGGAATGTCTATGATGTTGGTGAGTGCGTTGTTGCTCTGGTGTGTGGCGCTCAGCAGGGTCCTGCAGCTTATGGCCTCTCTGGTCATGTACCCCGGTGTGAGCCTGTACAGACTTTGTAAGCCTTGATGAGTGGAAATGTGAGCTGCCTCTCTATTGCATGCATCTCTCCTTTCTCCTTTTTTCTCAGCCTGTGCCTGCCAATCTCCAGCCTCAGTGTTTCTTATGTACCTCTCCTACTTTTCTCCTTCCTTCTTTTCCAAAACTATCACAGAGCCAACGGTGAGTGTGCTGCAGGGACCCAATGGAATGGCCACCGGCTTCTCACAGAGCCCCTATGACCTTCCCCGTAGCAGCCACATCCCCAGCCACTATGACATACTGCCTATGCGTCACAGCCCCACACACACACCCCCGCCACCCCCAGAAAGTCCCAGCTCCCTGCTCTAGATGGCACACCCTCCGCCTGGCTCTGACAGCGTGCCGGCAGTCCAGGCAATGTTCGGTCAACTTTTCAACCAACGGCCCTCCCTCTGTCTCCGTGTTTGTTCAATTAGATACTGAGATGTTGAGATGGAGGGACAGCCACAGCTCTCCTGGACCCGGCTCTCTTTGGCTCCCTCTCTGACACTCTTTCTGTTGCCCTGAAGGAAGGAGGGGAGGAAAGAGTGTCCCACACACCAGCGACCATTCACCCATTTTATTTCCTTACAGAACAGATCACTCAAACTGCTGCCCGGCCTCTTTATGGACCTTCTGAAGTGGAACATAATGGTTCCAAACAGCGCTAAGGGCAGCATACAGGGATTGGGTGGACAGATTATTTACAGGGAGAGAGCTATCCTCACACTCATTTTTATCCCATGATATAGGTTTACTATTCAAGGGCAGCCAAGTGTTTATAATGTCCCCTAAACAGAAGTAATTTTCTCCACAGGAAGGAAGGTATAGCAACCTTGACCATTTCAAAGCAGGTGACGATTTACTACATAGAGACATCAGAGTTTATGAATTGTCACTGTGTGCAGCAGCTGCAGATCACAGCACAGCTGACATTAAGTGATTATGACCATCTACTCTGAGGGGATAGAAGAGAACTGATTGTTCTAAATGGTAAACATGGAAACCCGGCTGAGAGTCTGAAAGCATGGATAAATAGTAAAATATTGTAATGGTCCTTTATTCACTGTTATCCTGTAATGGTCACACAGTTAATACTAAGGTGATCCCTGTCTGTAACTCAACAGCTTCTTTTTAAGTTTCAGTGTAAATGAGGCCCTGTGTATCTGGAGATGCGTTCAGGTCAAGTGTTCATGCATTGTTACATTAACTAAGAGACACACTGATGGAGTAATCATATCTTGTGTTGTTTCCTATGTGAAAGCATTTTTTGCAAATGTTTTTTTTCATTTTTTGAAATATTGGGTGTTAATAAGGGATTGCTTTGAACTTTTATGTTTTGTATTTATAAAGCTAATTGCTTTATTTAATAATTTATATTAGTGACAGTGAATTTTTATCAATGTGACACTAGAATATAAAAAGATGAGCATGATCAGATAATGGATACCCACTGATGTAGATAACACAAAATTTATCTTCTTGTGAGATGGTCAGTGTCATTTTGTGAACTGTTTTTGAAGTTATTTAAAATGTTATAAAAAAAATCTCTCTCTCTCTCTCTCTCTCTCTCTCTCTCTCTCACTCTCTCTCTCTCTCGCTCTCTCAGATTGTGTAAATTCAAAATAAGGTTTCATCTGACCAATTCAAGACCCTCAAATACCATGTGCAGTATTTACAAAGGGAACTATATGTAAAAAGTCCAATTCTAAAATATTTTATGTTTGTATCAGGCTAATTAACTTATTTATATATTGAACTGAATTTATTCATTCACTATGTGAATTCCATTTCACCCTCTGTAGAAGCAATAACATGTTGACAATCGATGCCCAGACAGTGTTTCATTAGTGCTGGACATTATGCCATCTTTGACCAGTGTGGTGACAGTGGATCATCTTTTATGTGACTGTTTTTCCTCTGAGGAAGGTTTTTTCCAGTTGCTGTCATATCAATGCTGCTTGTTGTTTTGGTACTTAAGTTTCAAATTAAAAGCCTATTCTGCCATCAGAAATCCGTTTCAATCAGGTTAATAACCTGGATAGATAGAAGATGAATTTACGTTTCATGTCAAGTGTTAGAGAGGACATGTCTCTCTTCATCTGTAGGTCTGAATATCAAAATGTCATCATGGCAATGAACGTTGAGTGTTTGATACTGATGGATGAAGGGTTCCACTCTAACAAATAAGAAATGTTATTCTGTTAATCTTACGATTTCTGGGCTATACCTCAGCCTGCAATTCAAAGTGTCAAGATGTTGTCTTGTTAAACATATTCCAGATTCATGAATGGGGACATTTTGTCAAAGTGATCTCATGTTAAGTAGAGTTTTCAGAGGGGTGACGACTACAAGATTTCTGTTGTAGGCTCCAGTTCTGTACAACTTGTAATTGGAACAACATTTTAAAGGTCTGTGAAGATGTTCTGGCCATTTTATTTCTAACAGCTCTTTAATACATGAATTATATGATGAATATAAATATGATGTATTGCTTTAGATACAACTAGGCCCCATACTTGATAAAATGATCTCCACCATAAATAGCTACAACATTAAAGACCTGTGCACATGTTATTGCATCAAACCAATTAAATAATACATAAATATATTACAGGGGCCATTTATCCTCCAAAATGATTTCACTGATAATACTTTTACTAAAGTAAAAATTTTAATGCAGGACCTTTACTTGTAATGCAGTATTTCTACACTGTGGTATTTTTCCTACTTTTACTTAAAGAATCTGAATACTACTTCCACCACTGCACAGTCACCCCCACCAATCCTGCATTTCTAATCAAGTTAGTGTTGACACTGTGTGGGAATTCAACACTGTCCACTGTCCTTTGCCTAATTTAAAGAGTAACTTCACACCAGGCTGACAAACAGTATTCATTTTCATTCATTGCCTTCTATGGCTGTCAAGCCTGTTTTACCTCTGACTGCAGCCGGCATCACTGCTGAGTTTGGTTGAGTGTGGTCAGAAGTATGCTTTGTTGCACCAGTAACCACATCCAACAGTGATGTCACGGTGTCCTGGAGTACATCTGTACATCACTGCAGCAAGGTGAGAAGTTAAAACCCCTGGTGGTCAGTAAAGACAAGACTTCTGGGGGGGGTTAAGTTACAATTTAATGTAACAACACTGTAGGCAGTAACTGAAGTACTGACACAGGCATCTAGTGACTCCAACCACAACACCAATACTGTATAAAAACATGAACACATGCAACTTATTTGGGGAAAACAATGTGCTTTCAGTGTAACATTAAGCCTGAAGTACATCTGATTCATAAAGAGACAGTGGAATTGTGGCTGGTTAAGAAAGTTGTCTTTGCTGAAATGAGATGACTATTATATTATGGGAACTGGTAGAAGTTGCAATGTGAATCAGCTCACTATAGCAGAGGAGTTTGTTCCTCAGTAGTTAGAAGCAGGTTTCCACAGATGATGGACATGCTGCCCTGCTGGCAGCCAACAAGGCCTAAGTGATGCCCCACTGAAAGGAAACATGGCCAGTAAGTCAAGAAGCTAATGGACCAAATACAACTTTGAGTACTTCAGAGAGAGAAGCATGAAGAGACGAGGTCACACTGCAGCAAGGTGAGCACCCTAGAGAGATTTTGATTTTGCAGCTTGTTGAATGTCCTCTCAGCGTAGGGATAATTAATGGTATTTCTCACAGCTCAGAGGGGGCAGAGTTAGAGATGGCAACACAAAAGAGAATTTATTTAACTTATCAGAGAAGGCAGATTGAGAGCAGGGCAGATATTGAAAGGTGATAAGTTCAAACTGTGTAAAACTCAAACGCCTCCAAGCACGACATCCTACTAAAAAGGTGCTGAAGCCACTACTCATGTTCAAAATGCAGGTATGCTGCTGGGGAGCTAGTGCTGCTTTTCAGCTGAGTCACTGTGACAAAAAAATAAAAAACATTTGATTTTGATCCTGACTCATTGTTCAGCCATTCTGGACCAACGTGGATTAGGTTTGAAACACAATATACAGCCATTAAGAATGTCATTGTAAACTTGTAATTCCCTCTTCTGCTCCAAGGATTTCTAGATTCTCACTGATACATTCACATCTGTCCACACCTGTGCTCCATCATTTCTAATTTAGAGGCATCAACTGCCTCAGAAAAAGTCATTTGTTTTCCTTTCTTACACATTTACATTTTAGGTATAAAATTAATCCTGACAGTAAACACATTCCTTCTCCTCTGTTCCTCTTCCAAGTTCAGTGTGATGCATTGAATACTTAAGTTATACATCGTGTTTGCTGCATATTTTAACTTAATTAATTCACTATTTACATACCGTACACTAGTTAAAATTCTATGCAACTGGTAGGTTTAAAGATAATTTATTCAGCCCATACAAAAAAGTTGTGAAGGCAAGGCAATTTTATTTATGAAGCACATTTTTTAACTCGGTGGGATAAATATTTAAATGCATTAAGCAACAAGTAACACGTACAATAGAATATAAAAACATATAAGAAACTTCAACCATAACAAACAAAAAAAAACACTAATCTGAATCAGCAAGCTAAATACCAATAAACCCTCATTCTTCTTATCATATAAGCAGACAGAAAGGGCACAATAACTAAACTAAACATAATTGAATAACAAAAACAAATGTCGTTACTGAAGTAACAGATAATGTTAAATTATAGCACAATGACCAACATTAGCAAAAAGGAGTGTTTGTTTACTTGAATTCATCATTTTCAAAACATGACCAGACTTTCCTGTGAAAATACCCTTCAGTAGATTCATACAGTATAGGAGCAGCACATTAAATAAAACAACCTGGACTATGTGTAGGACTCTCTCTAGGCTGATTATTAAAATGTTAAATATTGCAGAGAACTGTGGGGACTTTCTCTTACTAATGCAGGCCTGAGGCATAATCCTTTCTGCTGCAGTCAGCCTGTCAGCTATATCTTTCAGCCAAAGCTGTTTTTTTTACAGAAGCTGCCACTGGGATGAGGCTATACCTCTAAATGCTCTGACAGAGTTGCACCTTTGATTTATTCTCAAGAGGCTGCACCTGGATGCTGACCACACTGCTGCTGGATAACCTGTCACTTTCACTTCAGTCTGACATCAGCTATTAAGAGCCCAGGCAGGTTTATGGGGGAAATGAAGTGGGGGAAAAAGTGAACATACAAAATGACTGGCACATGACTACCTCTGTTGAAGTTTGCATTGTCCAGATGAATCTCTGCTATTAGGATATTTAATCAGTACTCAGTGTAATAGTCATTTTATTTAAACATGTACCATTTGACTACACAATGCTGTGGATAAGTCCACAGCAGAGCTCAACTGCAGATTTTTATTGCGGTCACGTCCTGCTACAGGAACTGTGAGGATCCATCAGACCAGAGCTGGATCTTTACTTAGCCATTCTTAATGCATAATCAGTATTCATCCCAGTCAGACTGATCATTGACACGTCCTCTGTGTCTATAACTACTCCCAAATTCAGACCAAAATCTAAAATACGCCCTTTAACAAAGTAAGTCTGTAACATTTATTATATGGACAAAAGATTTATCTAAATTTGTCTAATTAGAGAGGTCATTGCAAGGAGGAGGACTCTATGAGAATACTCTGGACAGTTGTTTTTCAGCTGAGGTCTCCAGAAGTGACTATTTAAGATGCAGTGAGATGCTGATACAAGAGGTTTAATCATCATTTTTGAGCTGGGGATATTTGATACCAGCTACTGTATAGAGAAACATCCTTGCAAATTTTAATATTTAAACTTAAATCCATAATATTTCATAACATGAATTATTTGTCATTAAACTGCGTACTTACAGTATGTTGGTGTATGCATATTTTGAGTTTGAATTGGTCACCCATTTTGAAGGCCAATGTTTATCCAACACAAGGTCACTTAATTAATTTATTCCAAATTTAGTCACTATCATTATCAGGTCAGGCTTGCTTGTATGGGCGGTAGCCCTTAATTACAGTTCAAAGGGCATAACAGTGCACACACTTATTAAAATGACATTCATTAATCCTTACTCCCTCTGTGAGAACAATTAAAACTCCCACGAAGAGTTACTGGAAATAAGAGAACTGAAACAAAAGAGAAAGAAAATATGTTTAGATAAATACTGCTATTCCTCCCATTGGCCACCAGATGGCAGACAGGGTGACTGTAAATGTGAGAGATGAAACAATGACAAGTGAGTAGTTTTCTTTATTTATGATTATTCGGGATCATTAAAATCACATAAAAGAAAATAAAACTATTAATGATGAACCATGCAAACTACAGCAATGTCTGGGTGTGTTTTAGCTGCTGTTCAAACAGGTGGTTCCATGTTTTAATAATTACCTCTCTGAATTCAGTGATCTGGGTTTAAATCTAACCAGAATTTTTAACAATTACTATGCAAACAACATCATTATCAAAGACAGCTGCTGTTGAACAAACTGTGGTAGTGACTCCTGTAATGCTGATGAACATCACTGAATCATGCTGTTGTGGTGACCAAAAGGAGAAATACTAGTATTGATTGATCCTTTTTCCTCCAAACAAGTAGATCTACACACAGGGCTCACACAGTTACGAAAGCTTAATAAAAAAAAAAATCATTTCCAGTACATATTTTGATAAAGTCTGTATACATATTTTAATGAACCTTATAGTTAACATATTTTTGGCATTGTATATATTTGGGATCTGCACATTGATATTTTATATGTCTTTCCCGTACTGCAACTACTGCACAACAATTTCCTTCTGGATTGTTTTATAAACAGGGTTCACACACGCAAAGTTTAATTTAAATACATTTAAATACATTTTGAAAAAAACAGGCTTGTGGGACAGTGAAAGGTTTTTTTGTTGACACTAGAGCTTGAAGAATGATAGATTTATTTATTTTACAAGGTAACAGTACAAATCCAGTTTTATGTGAACCAGTAATACCTGACCCTTTGGCAGGTCACGACCCTGACTTTCAAATTCAATGCACTCTTGAAAAACCTTTAAGCCATCATAAGCCTTTTCAAACTGGTCCGTCTTACATGACCAGTTGATGATGGTCTCTTGTCAAGCTGTCAGCATTGTCTTGAGCTTTTTGTAATTTCTGATATAGTATTTTCTACATCACACTGGCCGACTTGTAACCAGCTTGAAAAATATTAATTTGGGTTGATAAATGTTCTTCCAACCTTATTTAGTGTGAGTGATTTTTGATTTCTTTTCACCATGAAAACAATAAGCTCAGACCACCCAAAGACTAGTCCCTATTATAAGGTTATTTTAGCTGGATTCTTCAGCGGGTGTCTTTAACAGAATTCATTGTGCCCTTATTAATCGTAACTAATCAGATGCTGACAAACAAACCAAAATAAAGTTGTTACAATGTTGTTCTGATTTCAAAACTCA